TAGGCTGAGTAAGGAGATCTCAAAAAGGGTTTCTACAAGTATGTCTCTTCAACATGAGGAAGATCAGGGAAAGTGTGGGTCTTTTAGTAAATGGGGGAGGCAACCTAGTGACAGAGGGTGCAGAAAAGACTGAAGTACTTGATGCCTCTTTTACCTTAGTCTTCACGTGCAAAATAAGTTCCTAGGCTACTCAAGCTGGCAGCACAGATTTTGGAAGAGGTGTGCATCTGTAACAGCGCAGGGTGCTCTGTTACCTGCCGGGGCCTGGGTGGCAGCAGCACAGCAGCTCACAGCTGGCTGCAATGCCAATGAGGCAGGGCTGCCTGATTGGGAGCTGGGCCCAGCTGTGCTCCATAAGAGCTGAGCCCTGAACTGCAAAGGGAGAAGCAGTTTGCTGCTACAGACAAAGGATCAACACTCAGCTGAACTGCTGCTCATGAAACATCCTTGGTGGTAAGGGCTGGGGCTACGGGAAGGAGGAGGCCTCGTGGTCCTGGGCATGACAGAAAGCTGTACCCGGCGAGGGATAGGTGGCCTGGTGGGATTGTCTGTGGCCCCTAGAAATGCCAGGCCAGTTACTGCACTGGTGAAAGGCGCCTCCTAACCCCAGCCCCACATCCCTGGTGGGTGAGATGGAGCAGAGGGAGCCCAGATGCACTGAGAGTACTGAAGCAGGGCCCAGGCTGGTGGAGGGACCTGTGGCAGCATTCAGACTGCGGTGGAGGTCTGAGGCTGTATATAGGAATCAGCATGAAGCTCCAGGGGAGTCGGGCTCTGAGCTTTGGAGACCTATTAAGGAAGCTTCTGGGGCCAGGGATAAGGGGATAGCCCAGGGAGGGCTTGGGGACAAGGCTTGTAGCCCTGATCCTGAGAGCGGGCTTGGAGCCCAGTGTGTCGGGCCTGGGGCCCAGTGTATGCGTGTAAAGGAAGAGCCCAGGGTGCGGGCACTGGGACTGCGAGCTTTGGTAGGGAGTGAGAGTCTCACATGAGACTCGGGAGCTCGGGTCCCAGTGCTAGCTAGCTGGAGGAAACATCTGCAAGGCATGGGATACAATAAGGGGAGACTGGAGTCATATACATAGGCCCTTGTCATCAGGGCAGATAAATGGGCAGCCCCCGCCTGGGTAAAATCATGTAAGTATATAACAGCAAGGCGAGGTAGGTGGGCAGCTGGCGCTAAGACAAGTGGATGGGTCTACATTTAGACTGGCCCCGGGACATCGCCTTCTTACAGCAT